AACCTATTGATTGCTATCACATTATATTATGTATATCCCTGTAATTAGATAGCCCTAGATTAGAGTGTGTGCTAGTGTTAAAATGAGAAGAGGTTGGACATGTAAACTTCATGAAAACTAATGAAAGATTGTTGTTTGCTGGTACATTAAATTTATTCCTCAAAGAAACCTTGAGAAGTGTTAATGAAGGACTTAATGGCTGCAGGGCCAGCTCCAGCATTTTTGCCGCCCCAAGCGGCGGGGTGGGGAAAAAAGGCGCGATTGGAGACACTTCGGCGGCAGCTCTACCGCCGCCGCTTCATTCTTCAGCGGCAATTCGGCAGCAGGGACTGAGGGATCTGCCGCCGAATTGCCGCCGAAGAGCTGGACGTGCCGCCCCTTTCCATTGGCCGCCCCAAGCACCTGCTTGCTGCGCTGATGCCTGGAGCCGGCCCTGAATGGCTGTAACCAGAAATGCTAACTTCAAAGCAAGGGCCATTGTGTTCAACAATGGAAATTCACAGACTCAACCTACATTTCCTATGCATCAAAACCCACGTGGGTGAAGACACTGTTCAGCTTGGTTTCTGGAGAAGCTATAAAATGGATTTCAAGGAATGATCCTGTATCTCTGGACGGTTTGGATGCCAACAGGGTGGAAATACTGAGTGAGTGGACAGAGATCCCTAGAGTTATTCTAGGTGCCCTAACAGATTTTTGGAACTGGCAGATTACTACATCTCGGCTATCGTTTTGGATTTACAAACTTTGACTCACCTGTTAATTATTTTACCTGCTTTAACCTCTCAATAATTCTCATTTCTTTTTCTTAGCTAATCTTCAGTTTGTTTACTAGAGGATTAGCTACGAGCATTGCTTTTGGTGTAAGATCCAGAGTACCAGTTGACCTAGGGGTAAGTGACTGACCCTTTGGGGTTGGGAGTAACCTGAAGTGGTGTGATTTTTGGTTTATGTGACCATTATCACTAAGTCCAGTTTGTTGGGGTGGCAAGATAGGCTGGACAGCCCAACGGGACTGCTTGTAACTCCATGGTCAGACTAATATAGTGATCCAGGAGTTCACATTTGTTACTAGCTTGGTGAAATCTTATTATAGAACATACCACAAGTTTGACATGTCTGCCCTGTTTTCTGACAGTCTGACCTGAGATTGACACTCAGTTGTGAGCCATTCCAGACTGTGTGACACCCTTTGTCATCTACCAAAACTTCCAGTTTTGCCCTCTGATACCACCTATGATGCAGTTACGTGCAGTCAATACCAAACCCCTTGGCAAATAGGAAAATGAAAATGTGGGGACCACATAACATCTGTAGAATTGACTATCAAAGCAAATAACACTGGGGCCACTTCTCTGATAGTTCTATTCATTTCCATATTTGATTAGTTTAAACACGTACATGTATTAATTAGAAGGAAGCTACTGCAGAATCCAGGAACCTTGCTGAAGAATTTAGAGCCAGCTTACCACGTTGTATAGAGGCCCTTGACTGCAGTATTAGCACAAATGTGGAAACTCCATAGGTCTGTCTGCTTAGAGATATTTGCTTAGCTGAAAATGGCTGTTTCATTGAAATGAATGACAGATGGTATCCAGTGCTGGATAAAACTAAGAATATGCAGCTACAATATATCCTGTCATGTTGAACATACCGTACCAGTTACTGACATACCAGGCATACTACAGATACACCTTGGATGTTGTGCTGTCTGCTAACCCTTTCTGGCCAAACTAGTTACACTTGTATTTATTTTTCAGTAAGTGATTTTTTTTTTGGCATTGACTAGACCAAGGTGATAACTTGTGAATAAAACTAGCCTGAATCTGAGCAGCTGGTCCTCCATGGAGGGCTGAAGTAATAGTTTGTAGCCCCACGTAGAGGTGTTTATCTGTAAAAGGGGCTCTGTTAGGGGTAGCTTCAAGAGAGGTGTGACCTGGGGAGCGGAACACAGGACTGGGGGCTTTTGGGGTCCAATACAGGCTCTGCTACTGACTGCCTCTGTGACTTAGGGGAGGTTAGTCACCTCTATGGGCCAAATTCAAAGGGAATGTAAATGTACCTGACAGTGGTTAAAGCTGGTCCTCCCCAACAGAAGCCCGGGGAGAACAAACCGCTTCACTGCCCAGGCTGGCATAAGAGGGTTTAATTCACCTGACCTGGCACCAGAGCAAGTGAATCTGGGCCCATATTCATAACCCCCCTGGAAGACATAAACCAGCACATAAACACTGATGATTCATTCTTTTCTAGAACTTTGTCCAGTCTTGATGTAGGGCTGATAAACCAGCATCTTGCACAGGCACTAAAACTAAAAAGAACTGGATACTTTTATGGACCTGTAATGGGGCACACTCACCCCGCACTGGATGGGGAAGGGTTAACTCCTTATTGTGGGCTGAAGAAGTCACACCCCCACTTCCCTACTGGGCATGCTCCAAATGCAGTACTAGTATAAAAGGGAACAGCCTAGTTCAGTCAGGGCTGACCGCCGAGGAGGAAGGACGCACCTTGCAGAATGCAGCCCGGGAGCAGTGGGAACCCGTAACCGCGGAAGCCAGAGGCACCGAGACTCAGACAGACACCCGGCTACCTGTGGATGCACTGAGAAGCCTGGAGACCACGACAACACCTTGACTACTGCTCCAAGAGACCTGTTAGGAACTAGCTAGAGTCCTGAGGGAAGTTGGCATGTTTCGGTTGGAGTTCTGCTGACTCAGTGGTGGAACACCTCACGACTCTTAGGGCCCTGGGCCGGGACCCGGTGGAGCAGGGTGGGTCCAGGTCCCCCATCTCTGGTCACCACCTACCCATTGGCTCTGGCCACGAGGCCCATTGGTTCTGGCTGCTAGGCCTTACCGCTCTACAGATAAGGGCAACCCCATTGGCTCTGGTCACTAGGCCTTACCATCCTGTGGACAAAGGCATCTCTACTCACTGTGGGCACTAGGCCTTACAGCCCCGCAAGCGGGGTCAACTCTACTGACTCTGGCTGTTGGGCCACACAGCCCTGAGAGGCAGGGCCGTCCTATTGACTCTGGCCATTGGGCCATTCAGCCTTGAGAGGGGGCATCTGTATTGACCCTTGCCATTAGGTCTTCTAGCCCGGAGGACAAGGACAGCCGAATTGGCTTTGACCACTAGGTCATACCCTCTGGCGGCAAATTATATTGACTCTAGGCATTATACCTCACCATCCTGAGGTAGAAGGCAGCTTAGAGGAGGGGGTGCACTCACCCTGCACTGGACTGGGTTCCACCACCCCATCACAGGGCCATTAACTCCACCCAGATCAGGCACAATGCAACAGGTGGCAAGTAAGTGCCCAGCTGCCATGGAAGGACAGTGGGTGTTGGGTGCCCAACTGCCATTTGTGCCTGGGAAAAATCTCCCTCCCGTCTCATGCTGTGAATGCTCTCAGATCTCACAAGCTAAGCAAGGTGGGTCAGGGTTTGGATAGTGCACTTTCCAAGAAAACATCAGTGCCGCAGGAAGTGGAACAGATGTTGCAGGAAGTGGCTCTCTTCCTTCTGTGTCAGAACTGGAGTCAGTGCCCCCGCATGGTTTTTTTTCTTTAGTTGAGACACAAAACTAAAGTCCTGACCTCCATGGTCACTAAAGATAACATGGTTTGGTTTGGTTGGTATAATGGAGGTACTAACTACATTGTTCTGGCCAATATCCAACTCAGGTATTTGGCTCCTGCCTCCCTACATTCCCCACTGCAGTTTCAGCTGTTTACTGTATTTTTCATCCTGTCCTAAATTACTGTGCAATGTTACGGTGCTAAAAAATAAGTGCCATGATTCACCCCAGAGATAGTTGCATTTCATGATGAATAAAATGATCTCTCTCTCTCTCGATCTCCCTCTCTAGATAATATATGGGGAAGGGAGGGGCATATGCATCTATATAATCTTCATCCTTCACCTATTTCACAAGTATGTGGCGAGGCTTAATTAACTAAGCTGTATAAAGTGCTTTGAGATTTTCAGATGAAAGGTGCTACAGAAGCACAAAATATTGTTAATAACACTACCAGATCCTGAATAGTGCAGCAACAAATTGAAACTACAACACTGTTCTTTACCCCAGTTAGGTATGGCCCTTTGAGTTGTGTCAGCAGTCTTAATCGTAACGATCCCCAACAATGTAATATGAAGTCTTTCTTTTTTCAAAGTCACTTTAATTTTGTTAATACCACATAGCTCTGAGGATAAGGTCAAGCTCCCACACCATAAGTCATGCCCAGATAAGGCTAATCTCAAACGACAGCCAGTTTACAGCTGTGCATAGCTGTTCTGCAATATTTGTTCTGTGTTTAGGCAGTTTCTCTATAGACTGCTTGGACGTGTAGCATAGTAAAAATGACCAATGGGATTTGGGACCAATATTGTGCATGTTGGATTGACAACCCTAGAGTCCTCTGTTTCTCCAGGGATCAGGTGCAGCATGGGGAGTAAAGTGTAAACTTCCCCATATGACTCCACCCATATGCCTCTACCCTGACCTGGAGTGATCACCTCTGGGAGTGACAGGTGGCATTGATCTCCAAGTCCATTCACTCCATGGCCTCTCTGCTGCTAAGATATGTTGGGCTGTTTGCTAGGAACTGGTCTGGGACACATAATTTGTTCCACACAGATCCCAAAGCCAGGGTAATAACTTTTAGTCATGATTAAGCTGGGCTGGATTTGAACCAGCCAGAGTTTCTTTATTCCACTGCTAGAATCTGAGCCAACTACTCCCCCCAAATTCAGCCTGTCATTAAATAGAAGTGGTAGGAACGCTGACACATATTGTAATAACGTTTTCTCAAATCCAGAACTGCTCCCAAGTAGCATGTAACAGAACAGCCAGATCCCCCCAGCAGAGACTTTGCATAGAGTTATGCCCACAAATGTAAAAGCATAGATGAGCTACATAAAAATACAGCAGAATAGTCATGCATAAAAAATGCACAGTGCGGGGTGTGAAGGAACTATGAGGAGGGTCAGTGCGTGTCTCTTCTACAACTTCTTACCGCATTTGTGTGCTTGCAGACTGAATCAACAGAAGCAAACATTGATGCAGTCAGCAAGGATCACTCTCAAGGGACAAAGCTTATACAGTAACAAGAAATCAAAACTCCTTCCCCTGATTCCCTTTCCAAGGGGAGGTGTAAGCTGAGCTGAAGTTAGGCCCTTGTTTATTGGGGAGCAGACAGATCGTGCCCCTGCACCATGTCCCCTTAGTATGCAGGACCACTGAATTTGGAGGGGGGCTCGGTTGAGCTAAACTGTGACCTCCCCTGTAAAGCCCTTTGCTTAGGATCTCATCTGCCCGCTGCTGTATTCCAGATGCAGTGAGTCACCACTCACCCAGACTCCAATGGGGCATGCCTGCTTGGGGCTGGGGGATCTCCAGGGGGACAGAGGACAATAGGGGAGGTGTCCAGTACTGGGATGTGCACTTGTGGAGGGTCTGGGAGCTAGTGGATGGGTATGTCCTGTCAGCAGGAGGAGGGGCACAAGTGCTGTTGTGATAAAGTGACAGGAGCCCGGGTTCCCCTCAAGCTCTATTAGCATCAAGCAGCTTGTGTTTCACACTGTGTGTCACTGGGGCAATTACAGTCACGCCAGCCCTTCAACCTGTCACTGATGGGCTGGGGCCTCCTCCACCCTGGGGCCTCCTGCCCCTACCAGTTTTGCCTGCACCAGCCCTGATGAGCTAACTTAGTGCGAGTGACCGACCCCACTGCCCCAAACCTACTGCAGGATGCTGCAGATCACCATTTCCCCAGCCCGATGGACTTCTGCCTCATCCTGCTTTCCTAGCTCACCCCCACAGACTTCCATAACCTTCCAACCTGACTTCACTGGGAGTTTGGGGTGCATGAGGACCACAGGCTGGTTCCTTAGATCTGCTTCCCCTCTCACTGGATGTAGGTAGGCGGGAGACAGAACACTGCCAGGTATCAACCGGCCTTCCTAGGGCCAAATTCTGCCACCCTTGCTCACGCCGATTCATCCCTCACACTGCAGATAGCCTCCCTGTAAGTCAATGGGTATTCTTGCGGAGTGAGAGATTACTCAGCATTAGAGTGGCAGAACCTGGCCCCTCGTCATTAGTGTTCCTCATCTGCCCTTTGTCATTGCATGCAAGGCCTTGCACTGACTGTGTTTGTTCAGACCAACCAGGATGATACAGTCACGTATTTGTCGCCTCAGCCTGAAACACGGGTGGAGGGTTCCTTGCAGCTGAGTCAGGCTCCCAGTGCACATAAAAGAAAAAAAAGGGCGAACGCAACTGAGTCCCAAATCTTGCAGAGCTTTCCAGATGAGTTGGCATGGAAGCATGCATTTGGGAGACTTTGGTCTCTAATCGGAGGCAACGGGTGGGGGTTTGTTTGGGGTATTAGGGTGTGATCCAAAGCCAGTAGAAAGACTATTTTGGACTTCACTGAGCTTTGGATCGGGCCCACATTGAATAAAGACCTCAGATCTTGGATAATTGTTTGGTACCAATGGTCAGTTTAAAAAGTTATGGGGAGTTAAGGAAAATGGTAAATATCCCCCCACACCCCACCAAGCAACTGGTAACTGTGACTTACTCTCACTAAGGGCCATTCCATCCATTTCAGCTGCCTTGAAAGGCCAAGGGATGAGAATTATCAGCTAAAACACACCAGCCCAAATTCTGCCCTCAGTTCCTTCCACAAAACCCCACTGAAGTCAATAGTGCAACTAAAGGCAGAATTAATCTCTATGTGGTTTCTTCCCATGCAATAATCCTAGCAGAGGGGAGGGTCAGCATAAGCCCCTTATCTACCCGCACCAATGGACACATGCTTCTGCTGTGCCTTTGTAGCACTGCCCATGAACAGGCATCAGCATTTTCCTATTTTAGTAGTGAAGGAATAACTTTGTGCTACACTCAGCGTGTCTCAAAGCGGAAGCAGCTTGACATTGGCCTTGAAATCCACAGACAGCTTGTCACCCCGCTTGAAACCCTGAACACTTTACAATAAGTGGAAGTCGATTTGTAATGGAATCCCCTTTTGAAGTGCCATAGGCCCTCCATGTGACCACCAGATTGGTTTGGTGTTATTAATGTCACTGCAATAAATACCAACAAGAATTGTCAGCATTGGTCCCGTATCAGAACATATTGCCCCACTTTTCTTTCACCACATGTCTTTGCAGTTCTGTTTGCTGTCCCTATCAGTCATCAGAAGAGAGCTTAGGGACAAACTTTTTGCCTAGGTGAGTAGCTATGTAATAAAAGCCGGACATCATGGCAGCTGTGGCATCGACAATGAGTGAGCAAGTGCCGCCAACTCCAGCGGCCATATCTTTGAGGACAATGGGAACGGCACAGAGCGTGTCCAAGGGGAAAGCCAGAATATGAAGGAAGAGTCCAATGGGGACGCTGAGAATCCTGTAGATGAGGCTCAGGGTGTTCTGGAAGATCCGGACAAAGCCCATGATGATGTTTGCTGCAACCTTGGCCACGTCCCTGGGGATGTTCACCAGCACTGTGCCGATTTCTTTGCCATAGGACACCACTCCGTTCCATAAGCTGTAGAGTCCGCCCATTGCAGTGTTGCTGAGCTGCTTGACGACATACCACAGGAAATAACACGTGTATCTCACCACCTCCACCAACACATAGCCGATGATTCTCAGCAGCTTGGTGAAAGGGGCCGCAATGATGCCGGCTACTCTTTTCAGCAGGCTGCTCTCTTCGCGCTTGTGCCAGCCGACTCTCCCGGCCGTAGTTTGCACTATGGACTCTTCAGACTGGATCTGGTTTATGGTTTGCAATATAGCTTCCATTTTCTCCTGGCTTTGGCTGCCTCCCCCACAATTGCTCTTAAACAAGTGAGCTCCTGAAGGAAGCTGCTTCTCCAGCTCTTGCACAGACAGGTCTTCTATACTGTTTTCACCACTCGGACGTTTCAGAAAGCCCACAGACCATACCTCTGGAGCATCACAGCAAGCTGCCAGCCAGAGAAACTCTGGTATGGACACCTTGTCTTTAACTCTGAGGCTGGATGGAACAGCACCTGCAACAAGATACAGGCGAGCCCCGTTTTCACAATGTGGGGCCAAAGCTTGCTCTACTATATTCTCGACGTCCTTGTGCCAGCTTTCACTGAGAGAGGGAGTCATAGGGACAGCATTAGTAAGGGTGTATGTGGCTAGCTGGAAATCATCTTCATTGAGGGAACTGGGGTTTAGCTGCCCTCTCTCATAACCAGAGTCCACATAGTCTGTGGTCAGGGCTTGGTTTGCTCCAAGGTTGTTCACTGAGCCAACAGCAACAGCTTCATGCACCATTTCCTCCAAGTCATTTCCAGGATCATCTATCTGAGACACAAAAGAGAACAATTACTGGATGCGGCTTACCTTGCTGCACACTATGAAGCTACATTCAAAATATGCATGGAAATGCACTTATGCACTTATAGCTCACCCACTGCAACAGATGATATGAATCCATCCATCTTTTCTATTTTTCCTGTAGCTCTTCAGATTAATAGATATATGGCCAGAAGGGATTTTGATGATCTAGTCTGACCTCCTGCATAACACAGGTCATACCATTTCACCCAGTAATTCCTGCATCAAGCCTGTTATTTGTGGTTGAGCTGGACTACAGTATATATTTTAGAAAGCACCCCGTCCTAATTTAAAGACTTCAGATGATGGAGAATGGAGCACATCACTTGGGTGCAGCAGACAGCATTCAGAGCCTGTATGTCCCCAGCTATTCTATGGGATCAGTGCAGTAGGTGTGGTAAACTCATTTTTGTAATTCCTGTACTAGAACTCTTAGCTAGTAATTCCTGAACCAGACATTCTTGCATGGAGTCTTACGTGGAGTGACAATGGAATCATGCAAGCAAATTAACAAGCCGTCTGAGCAGGAACACAGAGTACTGAGCGTAGTCGAAGCAATGTCTGCCCTGTTCTTTCCCAGGATACGACAGCTCTATCTGTTCATCAGTCATTCTTTCTTGACACGTCCTACATCCTTCTTTTGGAAATTTAAACTGCATGGTCCAAAGTCTGTCCCAAATCACGCCCTAGGCAGCCCGAATGGCCAGGTGTCTTTTGTATTTAGACAGGCTTACTTGGGCAGGATGGTTCCAACAGTTTGTGATCTTAGCATCTTATACACGTGTTGCATCATCTGTCTCTTATTTCATTTCTTAATTGACTTATTTAACCTATAAGTATTGTACATAAAACATAGGAATTGCCATAGGGATCAGATCGCTGGTCTCTTTAGACCAGTATCCAAAAGTGCCCAGATGCTTCAGAAGAAAGTGCAAGAAGCTCCATGGAAGGCTGATATGGGGTAATTTTCCCCCACCCCTCCCCGAGTGTCTCACTCTTACCCTTAATAGTCAGAGATTGGCTTAAACTCAGACGAATAAAGTTTTATATTCTTTCCAAAATTTGTATTAGCATTAGCTATTACAGGTAGGTGTTCCTGTTATCCATATAAATGTCCAATCCCTCTTTCAATCTTGCTAAATTCTTGCTCCTCAGTGACATCCTGTGGCAATGAGTTCCACTGTCTAATTGCAGGTTATGTGAAAGTTTCTTTTATCATTTTTGAATGTGCCACCTTTCAACATAATTGAATGTCCCCTTGTTCTTGTGTTATGAGGCAGGCAGAAGAGAAGTTCCTGCTGTACTTTCTCTAGGCTATTCATTATTTTATATACTTTTATCATGTCCCCCTTTATTCATCTCCTCTCTAAGGTAAACAACCCTAATCTTTTCAATCTCTCTTCATATGAGCATTTTTTCAGGCCCTTGATCATTCTTGTTGCCATTGTCTGACACCTAGTAGTTCTGCAATGTCCTTTTTGGAGACCAATACACACTGTTACAGATTAGGCCATATGACTCATTTTGATGCAGTATAATATTTTCTGTATTATTGTCATCCTGTTCTTCATGCAACCTAACATCTTGTTTGCTTTTCTGATTGCAGCCTTGGTCATGGGCAGAAGTCCTCACTAAGTTGTCCCCAGTATACCCAGGCCTCTTTCCTGTGATGAATTTTGTATATGAATGGAATGATAGAGACAACACATAGACTCCATCATGTGTCATTACCAAACAGTGAGGGGTACTGTATACAGAACATGTGGCATGAACTTAATTTTCCAAGCACAGCAGTTTGTGAATGCAAAACTTCATAGTTACGAATCAGGTAGCTATGTGCAGCTGAGTATGTAGGCCGCCAATTGTCTGCTTTAGATGTGCAGCTGCAGCTACAGGATTTGGGGTTCAGTTCACTTTGAACATTTGGTCATTTGTTCCAAGGGTAAAAATATCAGAGCAGGCAGTTTATGCTGCAACTGTCAACACTGGCAACCAGCAACATTTCTTTCCTTGATGCCTCCCACTATTATTAGTCTTTTCATGCAGCCGTTATATTTGACACAACCTCCAAGTGCTGCGAGTGCTCTCTTTCTCTTTAACGGAGCTCCAGGAAGGCTGTCTCCAGCACCATTTCAAACGCAGATACAGGCACTGTTGCAGAACTCTCGTGGGCTGTAACCCAGTCAAAATGAAGTTGCGCTCATTTAGTGTGCGGACACCTATAGCTGTCTTTGGCACTTGCCTGGCCCCCATTACCAGAGTATCTGGCACCTCACAAGCTTTAATGTAATCTCAGTCTTTTTCAGGTCCCTTCTTGAGATCTGAAGAAGAGCTCTGTGAAGCTGGAAAGCTTCTCTCTTCTACCAACAGACGTTGCTCCAATAAAAGATATTTCCTCACCCACCTCGTCTCTCTCATATCCTTCAACAACGCTACAAACAATATTTAATGTACTTATCCTCACAACACCCCAGTGAAGGAGCTACCATTTTACAGGCTGGGAACCAGTCTAATAGGGTTGAGAGTTTAGACTGCATGCTTACATTTTCTTTTCTTTTGATAACCACTCTGACTTTTTGCCTATCACTTATAATCACTTAAAATCTATCTTTTGTAGTCAATACATGTGTTTAACTGTTTATCTTTACCAGTGAGTTTGCCTGAAGTGTTTGGAAATCTGCTCAGATTTACAAAGGCTGGTGTATGTCCACTTTCCATTGATGAAGTGGTGAACCAATTAATAAACGTGCACTGCTTGTCTTGAGCAGTGCAAGATGGTATATTCCTGAGGTACAAGGCTTGGAGCTGGGGGGATTTGGCTGGTGCCTTTCTCTGTGTGATTCATGAGTGGCTCTGGGAACATTCATGCAATCTAGCTGGGTGTGGGGCTCCACATGAGGTTGTGCTGAATGATAACAGTGCCTGGAGGGGTTTGCTACTTGTCACTATCAAAGCTCTGTGAGACACAGCCCAGAATGGAGAGTTAAGGGGGCACAGCAGTCCCACTGTTCCAGGCTGCACCCCAGTGATCCCGTCACACACTTCCAAAGTAAAGTAAGGCTATTTTAATGCTGAATAACAGCATCCACACAGGGGATTTAATACAGTTTAACAAATCCACTTCAAAGTCACATGTTTAGTTAATTTGGACTAACTTTCCTGGATGTTCCTGTGTATATAAGCCTTAGTGACTTTCCCAGGGTCACACAGGAAGTCTGTGGCAGAGCAGGGAATTGAACCAGGGCCTGCTAGCACACAAACCACTGGACCATCCTTCTTCTCTATAAATATATTCCATTAAAAATCCTGACTGCTGGATCACTGCACATCGCATGGCTAACCAAATGTGATAAATGAAGGGAAGGGGTAGGTCCCTTTTATGGACACCCACCCAGCCAGTAGCTATAAAATCCCTCTGAGTAGCTGTTCTCTAATTGCTCTACCTGTAAAGGGTTACAAAGTTTCACTGCTATGCATAGGTAAAAGGAAGTGAGTGGGTACCTGGCCAAAAGAGCCAATGGGAAGGCTAGAACTTAAAAAAATGGATACAAGACTCCCCTTTTCTTTGTCTGTGGTTGATCTCCTAGAGAGAAGGGACAGAGCAGCTATGCTGTGAGAAGCTTTGGGACAGGTATGAAAAATCATCAGTATCATACCTAGAAACTACTCATTTAAAACCCCAGATGTGTAAGTAGATCAGGAAATGTCTAGGAAGATGAGATTAGGTTTATTTATTTTAATTTTTTATGGCTTGTGGATTCCTCTGTGCTAACCACAGGTGCTTTTGTTTTGCTTGTAACCTTTAAGCTGGACCTCAAGAAACTATTCTTGATGCTTAATCCTTGTAGTTGCTCTTTTTAAATCTAGCAGTAGCCTGAGTTCCCAGATGTATTTTCTTCCTTTTGTTTTTTTTTTTTATAAAATTTACCTTTTTTAAGAATAGAACTGGATTTTTGTGTGCTAAGGGGTTTGTGCGTATGTTGTTTAATTAGCTGGTGACAACAGCTGATTTCTTTTGTTTTCTTTCTCAGCTTTTCTCCGGAGGGGTGTGGGTGAAAGGACTTGAAGATACCCCACAGGAAGGAATTCCCAAGTGCACCTTCCTGGGCTCTCAAAGGGGTTCTGCACTTGGGTGGTGGCAGCATCTACCAATCCAAGGTCAGAGAAAAGCTGTAACTTTGGGAGTTTAATACAAGCCTGGAGTGGCCAGTATTAATTTTTAGAATCCTTGCGGGTCTGCACTCGAAGGGCCAGAGTGGAGAATTAGCCTTGACATGTTTTTTGTTTATTTGTTTGTTTGTTTTTGTTTTTTTCAGTAAGACTTTTTAATGCTTTACAGGTAGAACAATTAGAGAACAGCTACTCTGAGGGATTTTATAGCTACTGGCTGGCTGTCCATAAAAGGGAGCTACCCGCCTCCCCCCCACACACACACTTCATTTATCACATCAACAGTGGAAGCTATTGACATTCCTTTTATGTCACATCAAATTATTACCTCTGTGCTACTTTTGGCAAATATTTCTCATACATCCCAGAAGAAGCAGACATGTTACACTGGAGGAGCCAAGTGACGATCCAAGTTATATCATGATCTATTACAAAATTTCATGGGATAGCTCTTAGTCGCTCCAGAGTAAAAAAGAAGTTGCTGTGTGATACTTCACTATATCTGTGTGCGTACCTATGCACATAACTGTGTTCATGCATGTTTAGCGGTCACATCTGGGTGCATATGGCTGTGTACATGTCACTCATGAAATGACTTAGATGATAACTGGTGTCACCACTTTTCTAGAGGTGCTAGAGGGCCGTGTGCTGTGCAGATTCCCTTAGGAGCCCCAGTCTGACTCAGCATCGCACAGAACAATCTCGAATATCATCACTATTCGTCTTCACTTTCTACCTGCATGACTCATTGTCAGAGCGAGTGCTAGGCATAAGCAGACAAAGCAATTGCTTAGAGCCCTGAGCAACTCAATGGGGCCCCTTATTTGCTTTTTATTATGTGTGGTGTGTGTGTGGAGGCCCCCAATGTGTTAGCACCACCTCTGCTCACTGCTGCATCTTTGTTTGCTTATTTCTGGAGAGACAGAGGTCTGATCTGCAGTGCACTGCAGCCCTATACTGGTAAAATTATGTTGCGCAGGGGTGTGAAAAATCCACCAAACTTCTCCTGCCAACATAGCTACAGCCTCTTGGGGAGGTGGATTAACTACACTGGTGGGAAAGCTCTCTCCCATCAGCGTAGAGCGTCTTCATTAAAGCGCTACGTGGCGCAGCTGCAGCGTTTTAAGTGTAGACTTGCCCAGACAGTTGTAGAAAAATCCACTCACTTGCTCCTCAGTGTTTTGATTCTTAGCACTGATTTTCCAATTACAGGTCTATTTGCCAGTTTGTGGAAGGTGTTTTTCTTCACTTCCTGTCCTAAACAACCGTGTAATGTTGCCACACAGTAGTAATCAGTTGCTTTCTTCCACCATGGAGGTGGCTGCATTTCAGAGATTGTTGAATGGGATGCCTGTATATATGGTAGTTGTAAAGTGAAAAACCTGGTATGTGATCACATAATTAAAGACTGTATCATGATGCATGTGTACAAAGCAGGGTGTGTGTGTATTAAGGTTGCACAGGCAACTTAAATTCTGGCATTTCCTAACTTTTGAGTATTTGACTTTGCACCTTTAGCACTTTCTTAGTACATTATGTAATGTATGGCAGTACCACCTAGGGGACTCAACCAGGGCAAGGTCCTATTGTGCTAGACACTGTATAAACATATAGTTCATGACATCCCCTGCCCCAGAAAACGTATAGTCCAAACCCAAGACATAAGAGAAGGATGAAACAAGTGAGCAAGGAGGGGAGGACAGGGGAACAAAAATAATAGGGTGCTTTTGCATTGCCTAGCTATGTGCAGAATTTATGGCAAGATCTTGTAGTGCTTTAATGGAAAGTACCATGAGAATTGCTTCAATACTACACTGCAATCCCTTCTCAGGCACAGCTCCCACCAGTGTTAAAGATCAGATCCTTGGGTCTCCGTTAAAGCATTGCTTTTCAAGGATTTCCATAGATAAGGCTTTTTGTCTGGCAATCTCTGTTCCTTGATTAAGCTGTTGTTGGTATTGGGGAAGCTGCTTTGTCTATACTGACCTAGATCCATATTTGTGTTTAAATGCTCCAGTCTTTTAAATAGGAACAACAGTTTTGATTTACGGAACATTTGGAGGTTGAAAACTAAAAGCAAACCAAAACAACAAGCAAAAGTGAAGGGAATGGGCCTTTTAAATACAGGCAAATGGATCTGGTTAGACAGAGAGTGCAAACTGGATTTCTCTGGTCTAGCACATTTCACAGCAGCTCAGTACAGGGAAGAAAAATCTAAAGCTCCTCCTTTATCTCACATCATCATTGATCAAAATCAAGCAGGGCTCACTGGGGCCAGATTCTGATCTCACAGACACTGATGCAAAGCTGGAATAACTCCATAGCAGTCAGTGGTGTTACACTGTGTGAAGTCAGAGCAGCTAAGAGTATCAGAGGGGTAGCCGTGTTAGTCTGTATCCACAAAAACAATGAGGAGTCCGCTGCCATCTTAAAGACTAACAGATTTATTTGGGCGTAAGCTTTCATGGGTAAAAAAACACTTTATTTCAAGCCCTGAGTTTTGGGTATATAGTAGAACCTCGGAGTTACGAACACCAGGGATACGAACTGACCAGTCAACCACCACGTCATTTGGAACCGGAAATATGCAATCAGGCAGCAAAGACAAAAAATTTTTAAAAAGGAAATACTGTATAGTACAGTACTGTGTTAAACCTAAACTACTACAAAAATAAAGGGAAAGTGTAAAAAAAAAAGATTTGACAAGGTAAAGAAACTGTTTAACAGTTTCTGTGTTTAATTTAAATGAAGATGGTTAAAAGCAGCATTTTTCTTCTGTATATTAACATTTCAAAGTTGTGTTAAGTCAATGTTCAGTTGTAAACTTTTGAAAGACCAACCATAACAATTTGTTCAGAGTTACAAACAACCTCCATTCCCGAAGTTCTACTTATTATAAAATAGTGACTGGCCCAGGTAATTCAGTGTATAATGCACAGGGATGCAGTGGTTTCTCAAATTGCTGCACTTGCTCAGGAATGACAGGTCTATAATCGGGGCTGATGAGAAGAGTGGACCAAGGGGAAGACCCCTGTGAAAGTGACTAGATTTTTGAAACAGGAAACCTAAATATTGTGGCAAGGAAGTTTTAGCAGCTGGGAGTGAGGCCGGTCACTGGGTAACAAGGAGGTTTGGCTGCTGAGTGGATGCGTGTTTGGGGAGGGGGTGGGTGGCTGGGAGAAGGGGATAAGAGGGCTTGACCACTGGGTGCAGGAACAAATTCAAGGTGCTTAGCGTGAGGTATGTAGGAGGCCTGGATGCTTGAAAGAGGGGACACAGGGAGATATGGCAGCAGGAAGTAAGGGTCAGGCTGGGTACACTTGTGCCTGGCTGGGGCAGGAGGGCTCGGCAGCTGGGCAGGGCATCTTCCTTGTTGCTGTGTTCTGCTGCCTATGTGACACAGTTGGCAGATGTTGTTCTCTTGTCTAGGTCCTTTTGAACCCACAACTATTAAAGATTCCTATGCATTATTCAGCTTGGTAATTACATGGCTTTAAAGAGGCTTTTCTCTTTTTCAGGTGGCAGGTGGCCACCTTTGACAGGCGGCTGTGTAAAATGGAACAAACGCTAGATGAACGGCAACAATGAACACCGGCTACAGTGACAGAGAGGAAGGATGAGCTTGTGGCTAAGACAGGGCCGCAGGATAGCCAGGGGGCGCTGGAAAAGTTTTTATAGTGGGGGTGCTGAGAGCCATTGAACCAAACTGCAAACCCTGTATATAATGGAAACCTCTTCAAGCCAGGGGGTGCGGCAGCACCCCCAGCACCCCTAGCTCCAGCACCTATAAGAAGAGCTGGGTTCAATTCTAGTACTTTCAGTGTGACTTTGGGCACGTCATTCAGTCTCTGTGTGCCTCAGTTCCCCATCTGGAAAATGAGGCAAATAGCAAGTCCCTTTGTATTTGGATTGTAAGCTCTTTGGGGCAGGGGCTGTCTCTTATTGTATGTTTGTACAGTGCCTAGCACAAAGGAGCCAAGATTTTAGATGGGGCCTCTAGGTGCTACTCTAGTACAAATAATAATTGTCATTGCTGAGTGGTCACCCTTAATATGCGCCAGATTTGCTTTAGCTGAATAGATCAGGTTATGTGCAGTATTATCCTACACTTACTAGTGAAATACCTTGAATACTGCAAATACCAAAGTAAAGTTTTTTAGCTCTCTTAGGCCACTGGTAAGGATTTAAGGGTGAGCACTAAAACATAACAAGGAGTCAGCTAACCATGCAAAGTGTCAGTATAGACAAGAGCAACGGACACTCAGGTAACATTTTTTTAACTGAATTCCCCTGCCTTGACTGAAAACTTTCATAGTGTAGGGCACTATGCTACACCTCTTTCCAGCTACAGTATCCACAACAGAGGGACACAAAGAACTGCCATAGCGTCAACTGTGTGAATCACAAATGTGTGTTTTAGTCCAGTGCAATGAAGTTAATGAGCACTTATCAGCTACTGGATCGGTGCTGGCAACAGAACAAACATCAACTTGTCACTGAAACTTTTAACCCTATGAGCCACAGCCAGTGTGTCCCTCTGTGTTGTGTAATAACTACTAGGTAGCTAGCTGGATAGTTTGCAGTGTTATGGTTGTGTTGGTCCCAGGATATGAGAGAGACAAGGTGGGTGAGGTAATATCTTTTATTGGGCCAACTTCTTGGAAGAGACAAGCTTCTGAGCTTCACAGAGCTCTGACAGACCTGAAGAAGACCTCTGTGAAGCTTGAAAGCTTGTCTCTTCCACTAACAGCAGCTGGGCCAATAAAAGATATTACCTCATCCACCTTGTCTCTCTCAGATAGACAGACAGATCTGGTGGTTTAAAGGGTGAAATCCTTCCTTTTCTTGTTCTTTCTTTCTTTCTTATTCCACTTTGGATGCAATGCCTTTCAGTTTTCATTGTAAGCACTTTGGGACAAGAGACCATGGATTTGTCCAGGGCTGAACCCAAGAATAAATACTATTTCTAATACATTAGTGTCTAGAAGGATTTCACAGCTCCCTGACTTCTTTGTAAAATTCCATCCCCCACAGTCCAGGATAACTACATGCCGTAACTCTTGAGAAGATTTGCTTGACAGCTATTGGGGAGATTGACTTACCTGCGGTTCAACCAGCCAGCTCTCCTTCCCTCTCTGAGCTGCTTTTGTGTATTTAAAAGCGGAATAAAGAGGGGTCTTGTCCTCCGTGCTGTAGAGCGTTGCGAAGCGTGGCTCTTTGTTGTACTGCTGACAGATTTTCACATGGAAAGACTCCGTAAATCCTTCTGGTGGGGTTTCTCCATAAAAGAACTCATTGCATTCGGCAAAGCCAGCTTCATCCACTCCAACAACCCTGCCCTGGGAAAAGCCAGGGAAAGCAAAGATGCAAAGTGAAAATAAAATTGACATCTTCATGGTCCACTGCCTGGAACCGAGAGAAGCCCTGTCTGTCTCTGCTGGATACGATGCAGGACCTGTGCTCTGCGTAATGCACTGCAGTGAAGCCAGAAAGCGACTGGAATCTGGGTGTAGTGTACAAGGGAAATGAAATATGAAACCGCAGCCGTTCCCTGCAGGGAGTGAGAGCTTACTGCATAGAGCGCATTATGAAACTGAACACGTGCAGGGCTCTGCTGACACACGCCACACAAACAAATGACATGGGCACCAGATCGCTCCCAACGCTCAGAGCTCAGGGCTAATTCAGTGCAGGAGGGAGCTCAATAACTGTTCTGGTTTCTTTGTTGCCCATCATCAGCTGACCGGGCTGGATCTCTGCTCAGAGCCACAGGATGTGTGGAGGAGGAATTCTCTCCGGGGCTCCAAAGGGGCTGGGGCAGTTCACTGCCAACCCCAGCACCCCTGAAAGGGGGTAGGTAGCATGCCCTCTCCAGCCACATGCTGGCTATTGTGTAGAGAGTTAGCAGGGTCTTGGCACTACCTGGAGCCGACTCCTCTTTGTCACTTTCGGGGTGGCTATCCCTCAAAAGCTACTAGTGACCTGTGAGTATGATGCTCCCCAGCCATGTTATGCATGGCTCTGATGTCGGGTCGCAGGAAGAGGTGACCTCCCTCTCCCCTTTTGCACCTGTGCAAGGTGAACCCACAGTCGCTGGCCCTTAATGCTGAAAAGCCTCAGGCCCAAAGGTCTTTCCTGACCTTTGCAGACCAGGACTGATTAACCAAAGGCAGAAATGCAAGAGAGTGGGAGTTGTAGGTGCTCAGCACCTCTGAAATCAGGCCCCTTTAAGAGTCTCAGGTTGGACACACCAGAATTAAGGGACCCATCATCAATGGCTACTTTTGAATATTTTGGCCAAACCTATAGAAACAGAGAAAACGGTATTTAATGGGAAAACAAACTGGAATGAAAGCCATCCATCACTGTCTGTCGTGATTTCACCCGCCCAATGGGCATCTGTATATGGCATCTTGGTCAGTCCCATTTTTGCCCTGTGTGATCAACTGGGTAAAGGGGGAGACTGGCCTAACAATGCTTCCATTGGAATCTTCCTGTCATTGCTCGGGAACTGAAGGGCTTACAACAAGAGAGCGATGCAAATAACTGTGGCCCCATAGCATCCATTCTGTAAGGCTGAGAGGGAGCAGGTCAAATCCATCAGCAGCTGAAGAAGTGGCTTTTGATGAGAGGGGCAATGGCTGACAGGTAGGAAAAGGAAGGGTTTGGGAGCATGACAAGAGATGCACAGAACTGAAAATGAAGACTAGGTGTGGCATGTTGACACGAAGTGTGACCACATGGCTAGGGGGATGGTGGAAATGGAGAGAAAAGTGGAAGAAGGTGAAACAAGACTGCCTGCAGGCAAGGAGGCAGAATCAGATGCAGTGACAGACTGGTCATTTTCAGAACAATGGGCGTGAGAGCCAAGACAATGCATGCTTTCCTGCTGGGGGAGATGGATGGACATGGGTGGGTCTGTTGGTAAGTCCCTCACCAAAACATCAGTAACATACAGATCAGGTCCCACTTACGTAGCAACCTCCAAACAAGGATCTCAAAGCGCCTAACCCTCACAATCCTCCTATGAAGAAGAGAATGATTAGCTCATTTTTCAGAGGCGGAAACTGAGACATAGAGAGGCTAAAGTGGCTTGCTCAAGGTCACACAGGAAATCTGTGGAAGAGCTGAGAATAGACCAGCTTTAATGATGAGCTTCATCTACAAGGCTTCCCTTACACAGGGAGATGACGTCTAGGAGCAGTACCAAAGCAGGAAAATCTACTGGCACCTTTACTGTGATATTGTCCAATGGGGGAGCCAGAGGTAGGCTGAGAAAACAGTCTAAAGAACAACAGGAAATGTAGTAAATGGGTTTGGTTTGTTTTCAGACATATGCCTGGTTACCCAACCCTGACAGAAAGTGTTAGTCACACTCAGGAGAGATCATGGAAAAGCGACTGCAGATACTGCTTGCCTGAGCCCAGAAAAGCAGAGAATCGGCTTCAGCTCAAAACCTGGATAGAAAAACTGCGAAAAAGCACCTGGGAAATGAAGAACTGAAACCAGACATGAGGTGTTAGAGTTTGATTAAATTTCAGGCTTACATGTATACAGGTGGCACAGGGTAATGTTTTCACAAGCGCCTAAGGAGCCTAACTCCCATTTTACTGGGCACCCAAGTGCCTAAGTCACTTTTGAAAATGGAACGTAGGCTCCTAAGTCACTTGGGTGCTTCTGAAAATGTTACCCCTAATCAAGGATGAATAATATAGGCTTCAGTACAAAACCCCCGGAGGGAGGGTCCCCAGGGAGGTGATGGGACAGGATGACAAAAAGGACTAGCTGACATGACAGGCCTCTCAGTTGTTCTCCAGAGTCTCAGTTTTCATTTTAAAAGCCTTTAGCCGAACTGGTTGCGAAGAAAACCGTGAACATGTGACCTGAGTGTAACTGACGCAGAGACGACTTCTGCGTGAGTTTGCAGAGAGTGTGAACTGCCCCATTCATTTCACTGGGCACTAACTATATGCCAGTGATGATGTCAATGTTGTTAATTAATTCACTACTCCACAAAGCACGGAAGGAAGGCAAGTAAGTATCATACAAGGAAGAGCAACACAATCTACTCTGAGGTCTGGTCTACACTACTGAGTTAGGTTGACACAAGGTAGCTTACGTCAACCTAACTACGGAAGTTTCTGCACTTATATTTCACACCAGCCGACAAAACAGCCTCGCTATGCTGACTTATAACTCCACTCCACGAGCAGCATAGAGTCAAGGTCAATGTAGTTAGATTGACGCAGTGTCAGTGTAAACACTGCATCGGTTACCTCGACTGTTACCGGCTTTCAGGAGCCATCCCACAGTGCCCCACACTGACAGTACAATCAACACAAGCACTGCTGGTGAGGACGCACACTGCTGACACAAGGAGCAAAGTGTAGACATGCACAAGCAATGTAATTACTGTGGCGGCTGTATGCCAACATAAGTTAGGTCGACTTAATTTTGTAGCGTAGCCATGGCCTAAGTAACTGCTCATTTTGAGGAGGCCCCACAGAGAGGACATAACTGGATTCCTTATCATTGAATCATAGAATATTAGGGTTGGAAGAGACCTCAGGAGGTCATCTAGTCCAACCCCCTGCTCAAAGCAGGACCAACACCAACTAAATCATCCCAAAGGAGAGGCTCAGCTTTCTAAAGTTTGGGGAATGCTGATGTGCAATTTGTTTTAGTACTAGGATATCTGTTGTGTTCCCTGATTGTGGAGCCATATGTTTGTTTCCTGTGTGTAAGACAAATAAATTCAATTAAATAACCCACAAGGCAAGAGGATATTCCTTTTCACAGCGAATCTGATTGGCTCTATAGTACCAGCCTGATCCTGCATTCTCAGGCCCCACACATACCTCATTAGGGCTTCAGACTTTCAGTTTTAACTGATAAGCACTGATAACACACTCCCAAGCCAAAAATGAAATTGGTGGTTATCCAGTAAACACTTGAAAAACATGAGAAATGGTTATTTGTATCTAAGAGCTTGTCTACAAAGACCAGTAATTCATACTATGTGGGTGTGATTTTTAAACAGCACAAACGTGCTGCGCATTAATTGGTCTGTGTGGACCGTGCTGTTGCATATTAAAGGTTCTCTAGTGCACTTTAACATAGTGCTGTTACAACTCATTGCAGTACATACAACGAGAAAGCCCCCAAGCCCTCCAATTTTGGGATATTAACACAAAACTCAAAAATTGCTTAAAAATACCCCACTCCCCATGAAATTAATAACCCCTGTAAAATAAAGTACTATACCCAAACTAATGTTTCTAAGAAAAAGGACATCTCTCAAAGTTTGTACAAAATGAAAGGGACGGGCTTAAAAAATCCAAATCTCTTGGCAACAGCAAAGCTGCCTGGCTTGCTTTCCTTCATTCCCAACGTGAGCTTCTCATCCCTCTCTCTCTCCCTCTAGAATTTGTCTCAAATAGTTTATTTTTTATTACCTGATTTTAAACCCATCTAGTCCAGCTGTTTACTGAAGCACACTCAACACTGACTGCTTTTCCGACCTGCCCCCACCCCCTTGTTGTTACTGCATGGGGCCCAGTCCTTTATATTTTTTGTTCCAACTGAGCAGAGAAAAATTGGAGGAGGAGAAGAGACCAAGGGCCAAATGCCCAGTTGGTCCATTCCATTTACTTGAGATATAGCAGCTGCAAATTTGGCCCTGCTTGTGGCTCTCCCAATGCGCATGCCCCCAGGGTGCCAGAGGGCACCTGTAACTGCATGCTCATTATCTTGTGGGTGTGGGGGAAAGAAGCCTTTTTTAAAAATTAGGCTCATAACAGAGCCTGGAGAAAAACTGTTTTTGTAAAATAACATCAGCCCCCCTGCTGAGCCAGTGAGCAAAGTAGGAATGTAGCAGGGTGCATTCTGCTCCCACTTTCATGCACCACAGAAATCTGCTCAGACTCCACTGGTTAGGTAGTGCCATTTATTTATGTTCCCTCCCCCAACACCTATAAAGTTTTGGGTGGAAGTGTTATTTACTGCAGCCCTTGTGTCATCAGCCCACTCCCCCAGGCCCAAGAGAAGAAGAGCGCTCCCTTCCTTGAGATCTGACTGAAATGAATCTGGATTCAGCTAGCTGTGCTCCTGCCCTCTCAGCACTTCCTTCCTGTACCTTTTTGATCTATCCTCAATTTATAGGCTAATTAATCCTCTAGCACCCACCCCCTCAGCCCGATTAGCTAATTGCATCCCAATCCCCAATCAGATTGCTCTGTGGGGTCTAATTAGTGCCAGAGTGATCAGAGGGTTGGCTTATTGGCTAGCTTCCAGCACTCATAAGGAGTAAAAGGACTTTGGGTGGTGATAGTACTAAAGGGATCTGGAAGGCAGGGGCAGATCTAGCTTTTTTGCCGCCCCAAGCATGGCAGGCAGGCTGCTTTTGGCGGCATGCCTGCGGGAGGTCCCCGGTCCCGTGCCTTCCGT